CTACATATGTAGAAAAATAAATAAAAAAATTAATTGCCAAGAGTGCCAAAAAACTTTTGTTGCAGAGGTCCAAGAAAATTTCCACAAATGGATAATGTATAGGGAGTATAAACTATTAAAAAATAGCAATTTAGCTTATCCCTCAAAGCGGTTTTTAATATTATATAGAGATATAGCCAACTTGATACATTTATATTTAAACCAATATGCCCACATAAAAAGTATTGGGAAAAGTATAAAAAGAGAAATCCTACATAAACTTAAATTTGACTGGCTGGGTTGCTCAAAGCACAAAACAAATGCACGCGAATATTTTATTAACTTAATTTTAAGGCTGCACATCCATAACTGGTGCAATATAATAAATAAAATATTAAGAGGAGATGTGGAGGAAAAATACATTTTAAAAATGAGTATTGCTCAAATTAAGGCTTATAATAAATATAAAATGTATAAGTTGAGAAGCAAAAATAAATAATTTGAAATTACCTAATGTTTCATTTATTTTCTAAAAGTCGAAGACTTAATTTTTACAGATTCCCGAATAGTTTTTTTTTTATCGACTATGGTAATCACTAGTAAAATCGATATATAAATTACCATCACTAAACTACGTCATACTTTGTGACGTCATGACATGCGATACTAGCGCTTTGCGGTAACAAGTGAAAACTAATACCAAAAAATCGAGTGTCCTATCTGTCTCTGACTAGTATATAGTAATCTGTGGCAGCTCGCTGCGTTCCTTTCGTACTTTTGTAGCTAAGATAGCAAAATGATTATTACTTATAATTTTACCTAGTTTAATTTCCTATTAAATGTGTGCTTTAAACATTATATAAATAGTGAACGATACAACGAAGTCAGTGTTATGAGTACTTAGTCCATTATAACGAAATTAATGTTTCTGTGCTTGCATTATAGTGATTAACTTTATAATGGAAAACCTGTAAAAGTGTTTACACCATCCAAGGTTATGAAGTTTGAAAGTTATATAATGAAAATATTTTCCTCGGTTGAATCAGTCAGTTGACAATGAACAAGATGTTTGCACCGAATTCATGTTTTCATGTTTCTTCACTGGTTAAGCACCATTGGAAGAGATGTTATCAATGTATGAAGTTGCTGTCATCACAAGCGCAGGAAAATCCTTCACATACGGAGGGACCTTGGTCAGTGTACTCTCAGAGAGTGAAAAATGGAGTTTTGAGTAAAGATTCACATCAGGAGGAAGTAGTGCAGCACTTACAGCAAGTGTATGAACATGTTGTTGCTTTCGAACGACCTGTACTTCACAGCTCGAGTGCAGGCTCTCTATTTAGTTTCTTTAGAAGACCTCAGCCTCAAAAGATAATAGCTCCCAAAGGACTTTATATCTATGGCAGTGTTGGAGGAGGAAAAACTATGCTGATGGACTTATTTTATGATACAGTACCGGTAATTACAGTGTATTTATTTATTGAGCATGATAAAACCTTAATACACATTAATAAAAAAGACTGTACAGTGTAAATTTAGATATTTTATTAAAAAAAAATATTTCGGATAACTATAGTGTTTTTCATAATATTTCATCATACATGCATTTGATTACAGATTAAAGAAAAGTTGAGGGTGCACTTTAACTCCTTTATGTTGAACATCCATGCTAGGATACATGAGTTGAAGATTAAATCTGGGAAAGGTGCAAGTTCATTCCGTGACGAGGGGTCAAAGCCATTTGATCCAATTCCACCTGTAGCTGCTGATATTACTCAGGAGTCTTGGCTCATTTGCTTTGACGAGTTTCAAGTAAGTCATTGTAATGTTACTGTTTATTACATCTATTGTCAGTGTATCTTGAACCTTGTAGTGCATGCATTGTGAATCTTTCCTAAGTAACACTTATGGCAAAAAGGTACACAATAATTTATACTATACTATACATATTATGAAAATGGTAAGAGTCATATGTTTAAGATGTGGGTTACACAGAATGTTATTAAGTTTGTGTTTTTTTATTTATAGGTAACAGATATTGGGGATGCTATGATATTAAAGCGACTGTTCACACAACTTTTTGATAATGGTTGTGTTGTAATAGCAACTAGTAATAGAAAACCTGATGATTTGTACAAAAATGGTCTTCAGAGGTCAAACTTTTTGCCATTTATACCCGTTCTAAAGTCTCATTGTAATTTAGTTCAATTAGATTCTGGTGTTGACTATAGGTTACGGGGAACTGGCACTAAATATAGTAAATACTTTCTGTAAGTACTTTTGCATGTTTTGAATTCACAATGCAGATTTAAGTCAATAATCTGTTAGTACTAAAGGGTCGTACAATAACATTTGTCACAGTTTTCATTTAGTTATTTCATTAACCAAGGGTAATAAAATGTGTTATTAAGATAGATTATAGTATACAATTACATTACATAAATAAATGCTATTAGAAATAAATGATTACAACAGACAATATTCACAAGAGCACATAAGAAAATTAATGTACTGCTTAACTTTTTTGTCATTAGTGTCTTATTGTATTTATTGCATATAACACAGTCATACCATTTTGTTATTATTGTTGCTATGTATAAAATAATATAAGTTTGTAATAGAATTGGTTGGTTTTATTAATAAAACTTGATTGATTGCAGAAACAGTGAGCTCACTCCTGAGAACAATGCAGTAGACAATTTGTTCAAATTTTTAATATCCAAGGAGAATGATACAGTGAGACCTCGTGTAATTAACATTATGGGTAGAAATGTTAAGTTTGCTAAATCTTGTGGACGAATATTGGACTCGACTTTTGAAGAGCTATGTGACCGAGTAAGTTATCTGAATAAAATGAAAAAAAAAAAACAAAATTAAAAGTAGGTAAATAAAATATTAATTATTATTTCTATTCCAGCCTTTAGGAGCTAGTGATTACCTTGTGATATCTAAGACGTTCCACACTGTGTTCATTAGAAACTTACCTCAACTATCAGTAACAACGCTAAGATCTCAACTAAGGAGGTTTATTACGTTAATAGACACATTGTATGACAACAGAGTTCGGGTGAGTAAACAATGTAACAATGGAGTAATAAAATTCAAACTGGCAATAATATAATGTATATTATATATTTTAGGTGGTCATTGCAGCGGATTGTGAACCAAAAGACTTGTTTAAAGCAGATGAAAAAACTGAGTTCGCAGATGCCGATAGAGCGCTAATGGATGATTTGAGCATAACGAAAGATTCAGTAAGTATAAAAAAATATATGATACTTGATAAAAATAATGTTCTCATAACATAACAATCACGCCTTTTATCCCCGAAGGGGTAGGCAGAGGTGCACATTACGGCACTTAATGCCACTGTACAATGTAACACCTACTTTTCACTATTTATGTTATGAGTCCCATGTAATAGGGGGTGCGCCTATTGCTATATACCGGGCACATTTCCAGACTCCGTGCTACTACTGAGATTTTTTAAAAACCCAATAATACTTTGCCCGACCCGGGGGTCGTACCCGAGACCTCTTGCCCGGCAATTTCACTTGCCACCACTCGGCCAGTGAGGCAAATAATGTTCCCATCTTTGTGTTTTTGCAAATAATACGTTTTAATAAATTGAATGTAGAAAATTGATTAGGTATGTAAAGATAGTTATTTACTTTCATTGAGACAAATTAAAGATATATTATTTTGTTTTATAACAGGCTGATGCCAACGCGGCGATATTCACAGGAGAAGAAGAAATGTTCGCATGCGACCGCAGTCTCTCGAGAATAATGGAAATGCAAACAGAAGAGTACTGGGACAAATGGGGCAAGCACCTTAATTAATTTTAATGTTGAATTTGCTAGAAATTATAGACTTTATGTTCATCATAGATGTTCATGTATTGTTTACAAGTGAGATGTTGCCAAGGCAATCGCCTAAATAAGTGCCTATACTAGATAATGTTTTACCTAATAACTAATATACTACCTAAGGTACTTACTTATACAAAAACATCAGTATTATAACATTCTCATGTTATGCATAATTTTTTCCATGCTTAGTGATGTTTTCACATTGTGTTAAATTATTCTATTTTTGTAAAGTTATACTATATTTGTACAGTTATGTTAAAACATGTTTTATTTTGTTAGTAATTTATTATTTGAAAATAAAAATAAAAATGAATTGACATTTTGATTCTTAGTTTAATTCTTTATGAAATAATATAAACAGTGGATTGTAAATGTTTTCTGCATTTGCCTTAGATAACTAGACTTAAGCAACAAACAACACATATTGACATAATATCACTGATCGGAATTCGTAACACAACATATTCTTGTACTAGTCTAATGAAGGAACTTATTGAAAGTGGAATTAGGTATAAACAAGACATTTATTTACGTCTGATTAGTTGATTTGTTTTCAATTAACGCTTATCTAATCGTACATGTGGCTGTAATATTCTTGATACACTTGTATGTAGGTTTCTTTTTCGGTGGGCGTCATCTGTGCTATGACGTCATCGTCGACGCTCGTTAGTGGCACCGTCTTTCCGTTTACTAGCACAGTGGGCGCGTTGTCATCTGTATCAGAATCTTCACTTTCCATTTCCGCTGCAATATTAAACGTAAATTAATGACTTAACATTCCATTGATGCATTGAGGATATTATGGTTAGGTGTTTTAAATTCCTTACCAACTGCAGCCAGTTCGTCTTTGAGTTTGTACGGATCCTTAGATTCGTTGTCACTAGAATCGGAACTGTCCGGTTCTATTCCCTTCAGAGCGTTCGTTGCTGCATTGTTTCCTGTAAATTAAATTGAAAAGTAATTAAAATGGTAAATAATTAAACAGCTTATTACTTGCACATTGAATTATGGGCTCTGGTTTGGTTTGAATTTAATCGAGTAACGTCCTCGAACACTTACGTGAGTGAGCCGTACAAACCAAGACTTAATATATTCTTTACCTGTATTTTGCTTTTCATGAGCGAGTAGGACAGACATAATATCGTCGTTCTTCTCTTTCCCAGCATTCTTTGCGTTACTTGCATTGCTGGCTGCTTTCTCAAGCGCAGCATCCGTCGAATGAACGCTGTCACTCTGTGAAAATTATTAAATCATTGCATCATGTCATTTTGAATGTTTACATTTACAACAAACTTTATAATTAGTCACAATCTATTTGTTTCTACTTCCGCAATGACCTCTTATAAACACTTGTACATAATTGTTATTTGTGTTTTTCTAATTTTATCCTGTATCAATTAGTTATTTCTTAATAATTAATAAAATGTATACTGCAAAACCATTTAGGTAGTTCTTAGTTCGGTAGATAAAATACTTGATTCTATGAGTAAGCGCATATCTGCAGGAAATATTTAACCTACCTGATTTCATATTAAACGCATTATCACAAGTTTACTCATGAATCATAAATTATGCGCAATTTATTGCGATATCGGCCGATACTACGCCGAAATTTAGGTCAACCTCTAAGAGACAATCTACTTACAATGCCGTCTTCTATAGAACACTTACAATCGAAATAATTTCCACTTTATAAATAAAGCGATGATTATTGAATACAACATTTCTAAATATAGTTAGATAGCCTTTGAATATTTAAACAATTGACGTCAAGTATCAAATCTTTGTTTGATTATTTGGCGGTTTTGACCCCATGAGTGATTTTAGATATGTAATAGGTTTTATATGCGACCAGGAAGACGTGCAAACAAAATGACCTCTATTTTGGTTCTCAAAGGCGCGGGTAGAAGCGTACATTCTAGGTCGTACGATTCTACGCAGTTATTAGGTCCGGGATATGCTAATTTATCACCACATACGAAAATTTATAAAAGGTATTTGGCTCTGACCCTGAATTTCTAGGCATACCGATATCGACGACGGTCAATCTCAAGGGGACTAGATTAGACTATCAACTACTACGTAGATACACTAAAACTATAAGAATGTACGTAATCTAATCGTATCAATGTTTAACAACTATGTTTACACAAGAATCCAACTGCGCAACCGCTAAAAAACCTGCTTAATTATGATTTAAAAGCTGGACCTCCGACCATATCAGCCATAAACGCCAGAATTAGAAAGTATTAAATTAAAAGATTCTTATTTATTTCTCCTAGCTGACAATCACATCTGACATGTCAATGACCCTGAACCCGTAGGTATGCGCTCTATTTTACGTGTATGCAATGCACTCGTTATCTGAAGGTCATCAAGTCAAAACTCATAAACAGACTTTCGTACGAATTTAGAAGACGCTTCTAAGATTGGACATCTAACTTAATAATTTAAGTTTCTAGTATGAAATAAAACGGATCATTTACTTGGTCGTTAGTAACGATGGTACTCTCCACCATCCAGACGGGTCGCTCCTTGCGTAGTGCACTTGTGTCATTAGCGTTGTCTGCCTCCCCGATTGTGACGTCGACACGAGTCTCTTCAACCAGCATGCCTTGGTTCCGTGTCGCCTCGCCCGACCATTCCTGCCCTGGAGGACGCTGCCCAAGTTGTTTCGAGTTCAATCTGAAATATATTTTGAATTTATAGGTGATCATGATCGCTGAAGCAGACATGCGTGTGTGAAAAATTTTGTTGTTATTTTTAACTTTAAATTTTCCGATGTTAATATCTGTCAAAATCTGTTTCTTCTATAGAACTATTTCAAGGTTCATCTCTAGGGTAGTTATTCCCAAATATGTAAATTATTGTAAAATGATATTGAACAAAAAATCATGTAAGTACCCTCTGATAGTATTGATGTCGACAGGCTCTGGTTCCAAAATCTCCGGCGCCAGTTTGATGCCTTCGACCTCTCGCAGTAGAATGTATAGAGTTTCTAACTGTTCGTTGAATTTGGCCAATAACAGCCTGGAATCCTTCTTCGGTAGAGCTGACTGATCCTCTTCCACCACTTGGTTGCAAAATGTACAACGGAACTCTTGTGTCATCATGTCGTATAATTGGTCAGCCTGAAAAGGAGTAAACCAATGCTACTTAGAAACGTTGCCCTATTTCTTTTTAATTGTCGTTATAAATAGAACACTAAGTTACATTACCACCATCTGGTGAGTATGAAAATGTTAGTCTATTCCTAATTAGACCAGAGTAGGTAGTGCACGCATAGTTTTAATTGAAAAAAACATCAAATAAGTATTTATTTTAGGCTCAATAAGTAGCCTAGGCTAGGATTGGTTAAACTATAACCCTTTGGTTTTAGGTAAACTTTGGCCTTAAACTAAAACGGGATTAGAAATATCACAATTTTACCTCGAGATCAGTGAATGTCTTCCCGCAGGATGGACATTTGAAACTAGCCCGACTGGTAGCGTCGCGTTCCTCAGTCTCCATACGTTTGCGCATTAGATCTAATTTGTATTTAACTACGTTTACGAATGTTTTGTAATTTATAAAATAATAGTTCACTTTCTGTGCTTTTCCATCAGGTCCTGAAAATAAAATAAGCATAAGTTTAATTTTTTTTTTGTTATAATTTATCATACAATTTTATTTGAACTATCAAGTACTTATCATGATGTGGGTAGGTAAGTAAGTATTTCAAATTCATTTTGGCACGAAAATATTTCAAATTCTTGTATGGCAAGAAACACTATGAACTGGTTTCCTCACCGTTAGGTTTTCCCATACAATTACAGTTGAAGTTTGATCGAAAGATATTTAAAAACTTTCATAGCATAGTTGCGTGACAACTGCGCTATTGAGCGGCGAAGTCGCCAGGCGTGTGGTTTTATGTAAATTAATGGAAAGTATTTAATTCTGAGGTTTTGTCACGTCACTTCGCTAATAACGACTGTTAATTAAGTAGTTTTAAAACTATGGATCGTAGTATACGTTCTACGAAGGTGGGGTTTTATATTAGGTATTACCTAGGTAGTTAAATCTCCAAGGACTGGTGTGTGTATGCGCTTGCCATATAATTACAAATTTTATTAATTAGTCAATATAGAAAGGTGGGTACTTACCGGTTTCCATTTTTAATCTCACTTGAATGAATTTGTCGTTTTTTAACGTGGCTATCCTAGCACGTAACATTTTCCTTTCGAATTTTAAGAGTTCGCAAATGTCATCTTCTTTCATACCTGAAAATTTAAATGAAGTAGATTAAGGCATTGGCTGCCAATAAAAAACTATTGAAGGCAAATCCTCCGCTAATGTCGGTCACCAGTGACTGCCATGGCGTTTAACGTGTTAAAAAAAAATAATTACCTGAATACCTGATAATAATTTTCGGTGTTCATTATTTTTTTTTATGATTTCCAGTTAGTAAGTACCTGTGAACCTATTAGGTATAGGTAAGTAGTCTAAGGTATACAATACTTACAAGGATTTCTGACGAGCATGTCGACTATGAGAGCATCTTCTATAGTATAAAATCCTCGAACAACGAGCCGAGCCAACTGCTTCAGACTGCTGGGCACTTCAGTTACTAGTCGTTCTTCCGTCATAATACCTGGGAAATACAGTTAAAAGTCATTCGTAAGACTAATATCTAGGTAATAGGTAGGTAGGTAAGTTCCTACCTTAGTTAAGGTCGTGCTAGCAACCTTTATCGATTTACTTATAAAGTGCAGTTACCTACCTATTGATTGCTAAAGGCGCTACATGGTCTAGCTCGAGGTGCGTTACAAGTCAGTTGTTTCAATTTTCAGAAATGTAATCGAAGGCTGATTAAGGTACCTATGTGTAAAATCGATTGCAGTATTCTAGGTGCGGTTTACAGTTAGTTGAAGAGAGTATTTCGCAACCCAAATGTATTGCGGTATGGAACCAAGCAGTGTGGAACGCAACAGCAATGGGTTGGAAAGATAACGCACCTAGTTGTTAAGTCAGTGGGTATGGAAATCTATGCCCCTTTGCAGATTAATACCAGAAATATGAATGCGGTGAAGCGGTGGGCATAGATCTATGCATTGGTATCCAGCTATCCACAGCTTTTATTCAAGAAAGAAAGAAATACTTAAACAAAAATTTTTTTTTTGTTCATCGGCACATACATACAAACACACAAAAAAATTAAAAATGTGAAGATGGCGCAAAAAGGCCAGATCTTAGCTTAAATGCCAAGTGCGCTTGAGTCGCGGCGCTGATTTTCAGCACTTGCCCGTGACTATAACAATTAATGCAATATTTATATCGGTTTAGCTGATTGAGTATTTCCTATTCTCTCAAGTTCTCAGCTGTTTTAAGTCATTGTGAACAGGTTTTTGACTGTACCGCCACTGACCACTTTAACGCGCTCTTAAAGGGTTATGGAATGCGCGCAGTGAATGGAAAGGAGCATCGGTTTTGTCTATCTGATATTTATCTGATATTCACAATAGTGAATTATACCAATTCGTTGCCACATTCCAAGTCTCCGCGGTTTTCTAAGGAATGCTACAGTACTAATGGTGGATTAATAGAAAATATCCCAATAAAATACATTTTATTTTCATAAAAACAATTTTATTCAATTATTCAGGTAGGTACTTAATTACTGTTATTGACAAAATAATATTACATCGTAAAACTGTAATCAATAGATACATACATAAATAAAAGTATTCTAAAAATTAAAGATGCCTATATATTAACTGTCAGCGTTACGAAAAATATTACATTCACTCTTTGTATGTATATATAGAACTTTTACATTGTTTGGCAGTATGTACACTTTGTTTACTTTGGACATATCACTTTAAACACATATTGTTATCGATCACTAGGGAGACATTCAGTCCAATTTTGTTGCTTAATTATCCTAATTTTATTTAAAATCATAGCTGAATACAATTCCAATTTTAGTTAACACTTGAAAATTCCATAAAACGGCAAGTCAATTTTTTCAATCTGGGCAAGACATTTAACATGAACACTATACATAATGTATATGTAATTCAGACTATATCAGAACTGCTTTGTGTAAAGCATGTAAATCTTATACTCAACAACTCATAAAAAGATAAATTTAAGTTTGTGAAACAGGCAGTATCCAAGTTTAAAAATACATAAACAATATAAGGTCTCTTACAATGATTGAAAATTACAATAATTAATTGGCAAACTTAAATACTATTACTACATAACTTACAAATGCTTCAACTTTATTTCTAAATAAAACATTTACAAGAGACAAAGTCTAGCCTACTTTAAATTAGGATACCAAAGTACTAACAAAAATCAGTCTTGGATTTAATGTGGAATTGGGAACAAAATATTAAATGGTTTGACACTAAGTATGAACATGTGTAAGCTGCTTATAAAATAATTGTTTTTCCAAATTGACCAATAAATTCAATTGCTTATCTGAAATTAAATCACTTAATTATGAACTTTTGAAGGGCAAGAAAATATTTCATAAACCATATTTGACATAAATTGAGTTTAAATATTGTTCAAGTTGCTACACTTTTCTCCAATTAAATAATAACACTGTTGATAAATTCAAAATAATAAATAAGTAAATTAAGTCTTAAAATTAGTACAAAATGTAATGTCTACACCTATTCAATCAATATACACTTTAATTATTCTGGATGAGTTCTTTCCAAAATCATTTGAATACTGTCCAGTGTTTGGTAGATGATTCTAAAGTTGGGACGATCACTTGGACTGTGATTCCAACACTGTTTCATCAAATCATACACACACCTTGGTGTATTGTCTGGACATGCTAGAACATTGCCATCCTTAAGAAATCTTACTACTTCCTCATGTGTCATGCCAAAATATGGCTGAAGAGCAAATGAAAATATTTCCCAAAGACAAACCCCATATGCCCACACATCTGACTCTAATGTATACTTATTGTACAGTATACTCTCTAAAGGCATCCATCTCACAGGGATGGCATCATGTTCATCACCCTTGTAGTAGTCTTGTAAGTATATTTTATGTGATAATCCAAAATCTGCTATTTTTACTACCATATCATCATTGATAAGGCAATTTCTAGTGGCTAAATCTCGATGAACAAATTTTCTATCTGATAAATAAACCATACCAGAAGCTATCTGTCTAGCAACATGTAAGAGGTCTAAATGGCTTAGAGGAGTTGCAAGCAATCTCAAATCCTCTCTGTTTTCAACAGAAGGTGGGAAATTGGTAGCTGTACTGCAAGCTCTCAAATATTCATTTAAATCCCCCTTCCCCATAAATTCAAACAATAAACACATTGGTCTTCCAATAGCACATACACCAAGTAGTTTTACAATATTTGGATGGTCAAAGTCAGCTAACAGACAAGCTTCTCTTTCAAAGTCTAGTTTCAAGTCATGGGAAGCCTCATCTTTGAGCATTTTTACAGCAACCAATGTGAATTCTTCCTCAGGTATTAGTCCAGGGGCTTTGGCTTGAAATACTCTACCAAAAGCACCTTGTCCTAGATCTCTGATGTATATAATATTATTTCTTGGAAACTCCAATTTCTCAAGCTTAGGATTCAATTGTGCACCAGTTGTATGGTAAGCTAAATTACTGGGTAATTTATCCAGATCTATGTCCATATTAGGCATGTTTCTACGGCTTGATATATTACATTTGGAGTAATGGTTTTTAACAAAATAATGGCATAATAAAGCTATTGAAGCTATTGCCAAGACACATCCAAGGCCACCAATTGAGAGCAACAGTACAAATGTAGGTGTAAAGTAGTTCTCCATAACAATATTATTTGGTCCATTTCTATTGTCAAATTCATCACTAGTGTTGGCACATGATGGAATATCACAATGTTGCCATCGCACATTGGGGTCCATTGTGTAGCACCAAGGCTTACTTTCCTCTCCTCCTGCATTCCTGCAATAATTGGTGGCATTCTGAACTTCTGGAAATACTAAGGGTGGTCTAGTATGTTGGTGAGGGGACTGTGACTCCCATGCTTGGCAGGCTAATCCAGATTCTGTAACATTCATAGTGCCCTGGTAATACCGTCCATTGTCTCTGTAACATGTTGTTGTAACTTGACTGTAATCCATATTTGTAATACCAACATTGTTACATGATACTTGCAGTCCTTTTCCAGTAAATTTGGGTAGACTTTCACATTCTGGAAACCGAAAATGTCCTCTATTTTCAAAGAAAACACCCCGTCGCTTTTGTTCTTCAATAACTATCCAATCATTGTAACAAAACTGCATTTTAACTGCCATACAATCTTCTAAACAAAGTGGCAAGGCAAAATAACCAACTCCATCTTTATCTATGCATTTGGGAAATGCATAGGCACACAGAAGTTTCTCAGCCCTACTTCGACAGGGTTCCTTTAGTTTCGATATCATTTCTTTCCATAATCCCGTTGTGATTTTCTCATTGTCAAAACCTCCTGTATGGTTATACCATACGTACCCCGTTGAATATTTCTTACATATTTGTCCATTGTATGGTCCACAGTAAAGATGCACAGAATTTATAAGAAGAAGCACAATAAATAAATTATAGTAAATGTTCATTGTTTTATTTTATGGGAGATATAGAGTCGTTGTATGTGGCATCGGTTCCTTGCATTTTACTGTTACGCTAAATACAACATGATAAAACACTTGTACAATGGCGGACGTAGTTATTTTATTATGTATTGATTTTAGCTTCGCAAAGCAAGAAGCAAAAGAAGTAGCAAAGTGAATGAATGAACAGAATAGAACAATGATGAGCAATCTGATAAATGTCATACACAGCATGACAACACATAAAATTACTAAATAGTTTTAGTATGTCAATTAGAAGTGATAAAATAAATTAAATAGGCAATAATAATGTTTTATACGTTTGAATATTACTATTGCATAAAACAATAAAACGTAATTTTGTATTATTTTGAAGTTGAAAATATTTTAATGATGGAAACCAACAGGCTTAATCGGAAACTTTAGTCGATTATATAAAACTAAAAGGATCGAAAAACAATCAACCTGGCAACACCAGAATTTTAGTCTATCAAGTTGGTACAGTGAATGTCAAAATAATAGAAAAGATACGAACCGAGTTAAAATCCTATGAATGGCTGCAATTGAGAAAGTTAAAGTGGTCGTTCTTGGTGATTCTGGTAAATTAAATCTTAATATATTTTAGCACACTTTCTGTACATTTGCACTGATAAAAATAAAAAAAATACACTGAATTCAAGATCCAACTTGCCGTTTGCCAACATGACTGTAGCCATGACACTTTTGAAGGCTAGTCTCAGTTTACGTCTATGGGATAGCCAACATAATAAATACATATTTTGGCGGCAAACATCAAAAATATACTTATTATTTCTATATGAGTAATGGAAAAATATTCCTTTAATTTTATAACAATAGTTCAATACCACATCACAATTACTATGTATGAAAAATTTCATAAAAGGCTTATTTGTATTTGAAGTTTGTTTTTGCATTTTTGTGGTTTCAAAACATTTATTGATGTCACAGTTCAATGACCTTGCAATTGAAGGTCATTAACAGTTCTAATGACCTACTAGGAAATTAGTCGTAGGCAATTTGTGTATAGCATTGTATTATAGCTATTTACTGCTCTATCTTCATTATTTGCACAGGAGTAAAGAAGTGTAGCGCTACCGCATTGTTATGTTGTCGTAGCCACAAGTGCCGAGCGAGAGGTCTCAGGTTCGATTCCTGCATCGGGCAAAGTATAAGTTTGAGATAAATGTAGTCTAGGTGCAGAGTACTGAAGGCGTAGGTACATAATAATAATAGTTTATTATGCAGTTGCTTGATTGTTTGATTCCGCATCCGCAACTTGCACATAATTCGCCTGATAGAAGAAAAAAAGCAAAAAAAAAACTTTATGAGCAATTTAGGCTTTTGTACATTTTTTATGGAATAGGAGGCAAACGAGCAGACGGAACAGCGCATATTATAAGGTTTTATTAAATTTTAGGCGTAGGAAAAACATCACTGACTTATTTAATCGCGCATAACAAGCCGCTGTTGTCACCGGGATGGACTGTAGGATGCTCTGTCGAGGTGAAACTGCACAGGTACAAAGAAGGGACACAAGCACAAAACACGTTTTTTGTGGAGCTTTGGGATGTTGGAGGATCAAATGGCCACCGAAATACCAGGAACGTATTTTACCAGCCCACTCATGGTACGTCATTTAACAATATTAACTTCCGCAGACAATTGTAAATTGTAAAGGCAATTTAATAATGGCTAAATAGGTACCTATTGCATATTTACCTATTAATTTATGACCGTTGGTGCAATAGGGATAGATGAATTTTTACATGGACAAAGGAAAGTCTCGACAAACGATTTGTTTCACAGAATAGTCTACCTAATTAAAACTTAAAGACACTTTCAAACATGGTACTGGTCTGTTGTAGATTGTCGTTTTACATTTGAAAGCTTTATCCTAACAATGTCCTAAATATAGCTCTTACTGTTTGTTTGTCACGTGGCGAGCGCTCGTGGTGTTTACGAAACCTCACGTCGCGTCACATCGGCGACAATCGTTTGCATATACTTAGCTCTTTTCAATATTTGGCACTGTCTTATTTGATTTCAAAAATAATTACTGACCGATTTATGGAGAGACCGGGCACCTCTGTGACATGACCATCACAGAGGTCATAATAGACAACGAACGAAATACGAACATTGATCGGAGTCAAAGAATTGACTTAATAAGGAAGGCTATTGAGGCCAAGTCGCCACAAATGACCGCTGAGACAACCGAACCCCTATTTTCCTAAAATTGACTTTATTAATTTTTTTTTCAGGGATTATATTAGTGCATGATTTAACTAATAGGAAAAGTCAAATAAATTTACAAAAATGGCTTTCTGAGATTTTAAATCAGGACAGTTCTAATCCTATGGCAAATGTAGATGTAGACCCGGAACAGTTTCTTGGATCTACACAAGTAAGTTGAATAAAAAGACACCATTTTGTATACAGCTTCTACTTTGAATATTCGATCTCATCGTTAAAAGATCATCTTAGAATAAGTTTTTGATGCAATTACAGTTCAAAAACCTTTCTACTAATAAGAAATTCCGTGTTTTATTACAGATTCCTATTTTAGTAATTGGAACAAAATTTGATATGGCTGAAGAGAAACAAAGAAAGAACCAGTATAGAAGGCTAGCCAGTAGTATAGCGGAGCAGTGTGGAGCTGATGAAATATTCGTCAATTGTCATCAAGCGAGGTAGGTCCTTTTAAATTCCCAATGGAATCTCACCTAAAAGATTTTCGATTTCATCACGAAATAAATGAAAATCACAAATTTTGTTTAATTATCACTTTCAGATCATTAGCAGCAGGTACAAGCAACTCTGTCAAATTAACAAGATTCTTCGACAAAGTACGTATGGTTACATCACACTCAAAAATCCGTTGCTCTATCTATTCATTTGGAACAAAGTAAACATAGAAGTAGATAAAATAGTATTATAACTAATTTGGAACACAATATTTATTGATAAGGCTAATATTGCTTGGTGAAGATCAAGTAGGTAAATAATGAAGATACTGAAGTATTAAACACGGTATTATAATTACAGGTAATAGAGCGGCGGTATTATTCCAGAGTTAGTCCCTTTGCGGACAAACGTCGTGTGCCGCCGTACATGATGGCTACGTCCACACCGCTTTCCAGTTTCAAAAATACACATTACATGAGTCCTAGATTCTATCACATGGATTAAACTTAATGCTTTCGTTCTGTTGTAAGTCTATGTTGTATCATTCCATGTTTGTATAAAATTGTTGTTATCAAAATCTAAAATGAGTTTTATTTTACTGACCTTCTAACTTCGTCAATTTCTTACCTGCCTGCACTTCTTCTTTCTTCGGTAGTATATACTAATATTGCTAGTATAAATAAAAAACGAAAATACTTAAAATAATTTATTGTAATTTCAGTCTTATTGTGCACATAATAAGATATTATTTAGCAGTACACTTTGACTTGTAAGTAGATGTTCGTTTACAAAGCCCAGATGCGGACGTAGTCGACTTGCAGGGAAGCGTCCTGTCCATCGTTGACATTTAAGTTCCAGGTTGGCAACCAAGACCATCTTGCGTTCCAGAAGTCTCTTGGGGCCTAAGATAGGTATAGATATATATTAGTACCTCCATATATGTAGTGTAATTTAGATTAAACATCGTTTTTCTAACAAGCTCTTTACCCATGTTTCATAGAAACAATTTTATTTGCAAAAAATATACAGAGTGTCGCATTAGGAACAGTTTGAAGTAGATGGGCAGAAGAATTTTAATATAAAATTCTAATTGAAAAGAAACAATTGAATATAGGTACGTACGGTTGGGGATCCGTTCCACCAAGGTTTGGGTGTAGGGTTGCTGACACCATCAGGGAAGAATCCGTTGGTACCACCGACAGCCAAGTTGATGATAAGATAGAACTGAAATATACAGGTACAGTTAATTCATTTCTCAGGAATTTACCAACGACAAGTCACCAAAAAAAAACAAGTATAGCCAGACTAGTTTACTGCCGATAAGTCTTTTTATTAAAAAGGGTTTTCGCAATCATCAGGTCACCACTAAGGCGGTTTGAAGTCGATGTTAAGTAGGTCCTTGAAAGTAAAAAATACCTTCTCATCGAAAGGCGCCATCCTGCTTCCGTATCTCCATGGGTTCTCAATGTTAGGGTTGCTGTTGAAACCACCATACTCCCAGAAGCCACCATTACCAGGTGTTACACGTCCAAGCTCCATATCGTCGATGCTGAATCGCAAGTAATCTGTGAAGAAACATTGTATTAAATGATAATGCTATTTACACGACTTCAAATCTTAAGGTCTTGAATGTTAGGTTTACTATCTTAATCTTGCAAAGGATATGTACAATGTACATATTTAGATATCAATTTATTCACACGATTGTAAAAAAAAACCCTTTAATGAATACAACTACTTACTTGGTGTCCATTCAAGTTGGTAACGGTGGAAGTTGCTGTTGTAGCCAGCAGTGTTCCTTCTGACCCAATGGGCGCGCTCCCAACCGTTCATCGCAGGGTAAGGTCCGTAGTGCAAAGTTGAGCCAGCTTCCTGTAAATATAAAGAAATTTTCATTCGGTGTCCACTTTAACCATTCTGCACTCTGTGAATATCTATATCTAGTAGCCGAAGCTCTAAAAGTTTTATAGTGGATTCAGTAAAAACTAGAGAATCCTTTAAATTAAGACTTTTCTTAGATTACTTTTGAACTTTTAAGTTCGGCCATACCTGTGTACCGATGTGGACACCATTGAGGGTCATGGCACGGTTGCCTCGGGACTCGACTAAGTCAATCTCTCCTGATGCAGGCCAAGTACCGTATGTGTTGTACGCTGGCATCAACCAGATAGCTATAGAAAGAAAACATTTTGGTATATAAGTAAGCATTTTTCATTTTTATATGATTAGAAGAGTTTTATAACGTTTTAGAACCTTTTAATGAACTATGATGCAAGTGCCAATAACTGAAAATTGTCTTAATAATTGGTTCTTGGAATTTTACACGGTATCGAAGTTATGTTGTAATAGTACTAGTTACTATAAACTTATATCACAAAAATCACTCAGCTTACCTGGCCACAGCCAATCTCCGGCGGGCATTTTAGCGCGAACTTCAACGCGTCCGTAACGGAAGCTGAAGGAATCGACGGTACGGACGCGCGCACTCTTGATTGGGTTCAAAATATTGGTCGGTGTGCCTGTCCTCTCGCAACCCCACCATTGTGGATTTGTGCATCTATAAAAAAGAAATGAAGTCAGTATTAATTAAAGCGAATTAACTATAACCGGTATGTGGTTTCTGCCTACCCTTATAGAACATAGGCTAGAGTTAAGGTCACAAGTCAAAGTTAGCGTGAGATTTCTGCTTAAACCGTTCCTGAACTTGGCTTAAGCAGATTAAAGCATGTTAAAGGAATATTGATAGAAGTAGGTTCTTATTGCTACAAAGTACTTTATCTATAAATAATCAGTAGATACTCCATTAATTTTAGCATCTGGGGTACCTAACATGATATGATAAGTGTTTAGTAATTAGCTGCAGAACTTTAATGTACTCGGCATGACCACAAGAAAGTCGCTACTACAATCAGAGATC